ACGATGGTTGAAAAGTGGTCCTGGTGTAGCAAAGATTAATGTCGATGCTTCAATCTCCAGGAATAATGCAAGAGGTGCAAGTGCAGCCATCTGTCGTGATGACAAAGGTGTTTACCTGGGAGCTTCAGTGACTGTCTTTGATGGACTAGTCGATCCTGGATGTTTAGAAGCCCATGCTTACTATGAGGCTTTCGCCCTAGCAACAGACCTGCAGTTGAGAAGGGTGAAAGTTGCAACTGACTGCTTAGCCACTGTCAATCATTTATATGGTAACTTCATGGGCTCCTCGGCGACTATTATCAGGGATATAAAACTAAGAATGAGGCAAGTCGATGAATCTGAAGTGGTGCATGAAGCTAGAGAATCAATTTTGAAGCTCATGCTTTGGCTAAGGCTTCGGCCTCTCTTGCCGCGGGACGGCACCTTTGGTTATCCACTTTTCCTACTGTTTTATTTGTACCAAACATCATTGAGGTTTAAATAAAGTGTGGTGACCCTAAAAAAAGACTGCTCGGCCTCGGCTGCTTGGCTGCCTAGAGGACTCGTTCGCGAGGGACGAAGAGGCGGCAGCACTTAGCTAGGGCACCGCCGCACGGGCGCACGGCAGCCGACAGTCAGTAGGTTGTGGGCGCACAGGACGGGACCTGCGACTGTTTGAGGCGGCAACCGGCGACAAGGACACCGAGAGGCCGCGATCGGTGAAGACTGCAACTCGCCGAGTCCGCTAGGGTTTGCAGATGACGCCACCCAAGAAAAGGATTAAGTATGTAATGAAAGATGTAATTTCATTGTCCTTTTTCCCCTTGGTTGCATTAGATGAATTGTCATATTACTTGCTCGAATCATATGAACAAATATTATTCAATTGTTCACTAACCAATTAATGTTTCTTGTGGTTTATACAGATTTAATGTGTATTTTTGCCGAAGCTAGTAGAAGAATGTCACTGCCACAGTCTACTTAATGAAAGTAAACCTTCATTGGGTATGTATTCTTTCTAACTATCTTCACTTGCATAATGTGGTTTCCATCATTATATCCTACCAGTTATTAATTCATGATTTATCTGTGGTTTTTATGTTTTATAGGTCATCTTTATGCCAGTCTAGTTAATATAGATGATACGTTGGCAATCAATCATCCATGTAATCTTCATCAAATGAGGTATGTAGAGTGCCCACACTTAAATTTTGGATTTTGGTTGTATTTGCTGAACACCAAGTAATATTTATCTAATATTCTAGTGAGCTCTTCCATAGTTGAGTTGTACATGATTTTTTCATTCATAAACTTCGCCACACCTGGAAATTATTCCTGCCTCTGCCACTGTCTATGATGCCGCCTAGTGGTGTTCGTTGCGGCTTACCAAATTGCGCGGCAACGCGCTGTGGCTAGTGGTACTCGACGGCATAGACATAAATCATGGGGACGATGCTCCGCCAGAGAAGACAGTGTTCCTTGCACATCGCGTTCAGCTCGAACCCCCACTCTTGGTCGTTAGGATATGACCGCTAGTTAACCTAGTACCCAAAGTGGTAAGCTCAAGTGGAAGTGTTGTCGACCACATTCGAAATCTAGTTCTTATACCTGGAAAGGCGTCAGAGCATCAAGCTCGTTGCTGAAGATCTTGTACAAGGCCATGGATTCACCCGAGATTGTACCCACCACGTCCCAAGCGTATGCGGCGGTCGGGTATTGAGCATCATCGCCATCTTCGCCATAGTCATTCCATGCACGTGCTCTAAGCTTCTCCGGACGCCCCACCGGGATTCGCTCCCACATCCAAATGGAAAGGCCCCATACATATCCATACATGCCGGATGTAGATTCTGTCTTCTGGGTTGCGTCGTCAAGCTACAAAACAAGTATAGATCGTAAGATGACAAAATCCAAAGCAGTACACGTCCATGATATTTGAAACAATGTGATATTCACTTACCGAACGGTATAGGTAGGCGAGGCCGGCGGCCCCCCAGCTATACCCCGCATCCCAGTCCGCTAGGAAGTCGAGATACATCTAGAGGGCAGTGTCCCCAGAGCAGTCTGGAAACACTACCTCCGTGAGAAGATACCACAAGTAGGCCCTGGCATACTGCTCCACCACCGGGGGTTCGGCACCTTCCGGGCACTTGCTCCGGTACTTCAGGAGCCAGGGCAGCGAGACGCCGGAAGTCTGGTTCTTCTTATCCGGGGGGGGCATTCGCCGATGAGGGTGATAACCCTATCGTGCCAGTTCTTCCTCTCCACTCGTCCTGTGAGAGCAAGATCCTCGAGCAGTAGGCCCGTAATCATCCCCCAATCCTCTAGTGTAACCGTCATCTCCCCACGTGGAATATGGAGATGTGCGTCTCTGGCCGCCACCGATCAATCAAAGCCGTGAGAGCTGAGTGGACGAGCGTTGGCGGCTTGTGCTTGAACTACAGGACAAAACCCAGCAGCTGGGCTCTCCTGTAGAACGGTGTGTACCGCTCGTCATACTCCATCTTCACGGTCGTCCCGTGACCCCTCATCCGCAATGGCGGGAGCATCTGTCGAAATGAAGACCCAAAAAATTAGTAACTTTTTTTCATCGATTCGAAAGATTTGGTTTAAGAAAGGTAATTACCACTCCGTTCTCAATGAAATGGGCACGATGGCCCTTGTCGAACGCAAGGTCAAGCATTGTATACTTGATGACAATGTCATCCGCAAGAGGTGGCCTCCTAAAAGAATTGCATAAGCATTCATCAATTATCATTTATTGAACAAACATATTAACCATTGCATAAGCATATCAAAAAATAATTAACATTTATCACTTATTGGACAAACATTCATCAATTATCATATATCCAACCAATATAAATGATCAATGCGAATGAATCATATTCAACCAACATCTTTCATTCAACAACATTTAACCATATCAACATCTTTCACATTCACTTATTGAATAAAGTTTTTAACACTAAAAATTATGAACTAGGTTCATCTTGAGGGTTCAACATTATTTCTCCAATTACATCCACTACTTGCATCATAGCATATGAACTTGCATCGTCATATCACATCAAATTCCTCCAAAAAATCCTATAGTTCATATATGAACTAGGGTACATATGCATCACATAAAAAAAATCCTAGGGTTCATCTTCACAAAACCATACCAACTATTGCCTAGAGTTCATATCTAACTCATCTCCTCCACTAAAAACAATATAAATCAATCATAGGGTTCAAAAAGTTTAAATCTAATTCAAAAATGGGAGGGATTTGAATCAAATAATGCGACGAATCGAAAGGTGTTTGACTAAAACTAATTGGAGGGATCTAAAGAGCTTACTTTTCTCTTTTCGGGGCCATCTCGATCCGTAAAATTCGTGAAGAAACGAAGAAGATCGGAGGGGGAAGTGGAGGAGATGAGAGTGGGGCGAGAGGAAGAAGAAGGCGACTGGGTGGGGGAGAAGGAGGTGGTTGCGGGCGGGCCGGGGGCATATAACTATCCACACCCTATCGCCAGGGATGCTGGCAGTAGAGTTAAACAGGCTACCGCCGTCACCTGCGGCGGTAGGGTTGAGGAGGGGGACAGAGGATAGCTGACGTGGATTAGTTTCCTACCGCCAGAGCCTTCGGCGGTAGGATGAACATGAAAAAGGGTCAGATGTCAATTTTTTTTGAAACAGGGGTCAGATCCCGATTTTATACGTGAGAAGGGTCAAAACACGGAATTTTGCCCCGAGCCGATGCTGGCTTGGCTTTGCTTCCAACGCCGTCGAGGCGCCTGCCCGCCCGATGTGCGACGCGGTCGCGAAATTGCAGCGCGTGACCGTGCGCCCGCCTTGGCCTGTTTCTTGCGACCGATGCGTAGCTGGTGCCCATGCGCTCCGTTGAACCATTCCGCCAGCGAACGGAACGGCGAGGCCCTATCTACGCACGCACGCGCCGTGCCGTGCCGCGGGACGCCACACGGTTTCAGGAAACAGGGAACCGATCGACGGGGACTCGCGATCTTTGCGACGACAGACAGAGATGGATAATACAGCTGTACATATCTTGTTGTTCTCAGCTGATCGATCCTCCGGCGTGCAATCCGGCGTTGACCGTTGCCACGGGCGGGGATTTTTATACGTGCCTTCCAGAAAGATATCTGTGTCTGTTACAACAGAGTTGCTGAACCTGATTGGCATAGAAAATGGAGAGGCTATGACTACCACCGACACAACAGAGGAGGCAAAAAATGAAGGGGGGAGACCTATTGTTTCACATAAAGATTTCCATAAAGAAGTGCTTGTGCTGGGACACACACGCACCAGCTTGGGAGGAGCTTTCACGTGAACCGATGGAATCTGGGAGCAGACAGGCATCGTACCTGCACCGTTTAATGCACTCCACGTTATCGGAGTTAAAAAAACCTGCCGAATAATACCACCATAGCACTCGCTCGCTCTACCACCAGGCGAAATGTGAGAACGGAAACTGCAAAGCGCAAACCCAGGCAAGTCGTGATACAGCTACTGCTACTAGTACTAGTACCACCACCAGGAGGCCGGGTTTGAATTTGAACGACGAACGCGCAGCAACAGCGCAGGCGCAGGGGGCGAGAGAAGAGGGACCGTGGTCACGTTCGGGAAGCGGCCGACGCCTGCCTCCAAAAATCCCCATCGCTTCCTCGTCTTTTCCTTCCTTCCTCCCTCGCTAGCTTCTCCCTCCCTCACCCACCGCCCTCTCGATCCTTCCACCCCTTGCTTCTCTCTCCCGTACCACACCACGCTGCTGCGCTGCCATCATCCGTCAGGATAGCCATCGCGGTTGCTTTCCCTCGCCCCAACCACTCCAACACCGCACGGAGCCGAGCCGATCCAATCCAATCCGGCCCCATTAACCCTCCTCCGCGCCCGATTCCAATCGCGCCCCCCGCCAGCTCCGATCGAGGCAGGGGGATTCGCAGATCCGGGCGCCGTCTCGCTCTCCCTGTGATGCGCGGATCCGGGCGGTGACCGGCGGCGGGAGCGAGCCAAGCCATGCCGAGCGTCGGCGTGAAGATCTACAGCGTCTTCTTCAAGCTGCTCCTGCGCCACCGCCTCCAGTCGCTCGCCGCCGCGGCCGCCGCCGACGGGGGCGGCGGGGACGGCGACGCGGCCGCCTTCGGGGTCTCCTGCCGCGCCGACGAGGCCACGGCGCCGGCCAACCCGGCCTTCTCCGCAGCCGACGGGGTCGCCTCCAAGGACCTGCACATCGACCCCAACTCGGCGCTCTCCGTCCGCATCTTCCTCCCCACGCCGCCGCCGCACCACCCGCACCTCCTCCACCCGCGCCGCGCCAGCGACCCCGCCGCCGGCCAGGCGGGCGCGCCCTACAGGGGCTACCTCCCGCACGCCGTCTCCTCCCCGCGGGCCGCCGCCTCCGCGCGCCGCAGGCTGCCCATCGTCGTGCAGTTCCACGGCGGCGGCTTCGTCACGGGGAGCAACTGCTCCGCCTCCAACGACGCCTTCTGCCGGAGGGTCGCCAAGTTCTGCGACGCCATCGTCGTCGCCGTCGGCTACAGGCTCGCGCCCGAGAGCCGCTACCCCGCCGCCTTTGATGACGGGGTCAGGGTGCTTAGGTGGATCGCCAAGCAGGCCAATCTCGCCATGATGAGCAAGGTTGGGGGCGGGGTGGACACGTTCGGTGCCTCCACCGTCGAGCCCTGGATCGCCGCACATGGTGATCCGGCAAGGTATAATTTAATTCGGTTCTAATCTCTCGTTTGTAATTGCATTTCTTGCTGCTTCGACTTTACTAAATGGCCTAGGAACATAATACTGCAGTGTGAAGTTGCCGAAAAGCCGGCAAGCCAAGCAACAGGAATTTTTGTTTCATTTCTTCAATGGAAGTTCTTGTTTGTCATTCACCAGCATTATTTCAGAAACTGCTAACAAGAATTGCCCTAATTAAGTGAACATGTCAAAACGACGAAGATATAGTTCCCTATCTATTCGATCTGTTATTGGTTCAAATATGGAGATAGTAATTTCCCTGTGAGATGCCATTATGACTAGCAGCAGGTTTAGAGAGAGCTCATGTGTATGTCATTTCCCCGTGGGTTGCCATTTCGGACTAGCAGCAGGTTTAGAGAGAGCTCATGAGTATCTCATTTCCCCGTGGGTTGCCATTTCGGACTAGCAGCAGGTTTAGAGAGAGCTCATGAGTATGTCATTTCCCCGCGAGTTGCCATTTCTGACTAGCAGTGGTTTAGAGACCGTGAGTACGGCATTTCCCCCTGAGTTGCCATTTCTGACTTGCAGCAGGTTTAGAGCTCATGAGTATGTTGACCGGGGAAGATTCAATGTTTACAAGCTGACAGTTATACTCACTAACATATGGTGTGCACTTTCTGTTATATCTTACCATTTACGTGCACCTTAGCTTTTCGTGTGGACTCTGATCGGGTACACAGGCTCACAACATAGAAGCATCAAATATCCAAATATTAGTTGATTTAGTTCACCAGGATTACATTCTCCAAATGATGTTGACATTCTGAAGATGTCAATGCAACTTTACAGGACTTGCTTGACCGTGGGCATGTGGATAGACCTTTTCTTTGTGAAATTTTCTAGGGCACATGTTTTCAACAAAGTTCTATATTCCGGTAGGTTGTATATGTTGAGTAAATAACTGCTAATGATGTCACCACAATCCGATAACCTTGAACACTAGTGAAGGCATGCAATTTTCATATTACTGATTCTGGGATTCTTTATTGGTCATGTTTGTTGACCTAACTTATTAATGAAATTCAATTGCACTGAACTGTTGGATCGAATAGATCAGTTAAAACTTACGCTGGTCTGCTCCCTTACCTATAATGAAGATTTTATTTTAACTATGATTTCAGTAGAACCTGGTGAAATTAGTACCTTTCTCATGCCTTTTTATTATGTCCGTGTTCTCTTAAATGTGATGTATATATTGATGGACTGTCATCATCTCAAACCTTGGTTGCTTGGTGTATCACACCTACCTGAGTTTAAACCCCTCAACATATGTGCCCACTTCAATTTAATTTGAAATAGAATAGCTGCATATGTGCTAACATCATTAAATGGTTCTTACCTTCTACCTATAAGAGACAAAAGAATATATCTAGTAATTTATTGTAAATCCTTTTGTTTTAACTGTTGTACATTTGTGTTGCCGGAGTTTGACCAGATCACCCGTCTTTTCCTTGGGAGCAGATGTGTCCTACTTGGTGTAAGCTGTGGTGCCAACATTGCTGATTTTGTCACTAGGAAAGCGGTGGAAGATGCAAAGCAATTTGACCCAGTCAAGGTCGTAGCACAGGTTCTGATGTATCCCTTCTTCATAGGAAGTGTTCCAACACACTCGGAAATAAGGCTTGCGAACTCGTACTTCTACGACAAATCCACATGCTTACTTGCCTGGAGATTACTTTTATCAGAGAAAGAGTTCAGCTTGGACCATCCTGCTGCCAACCCCCTGGCCCCTGGCAGAGGACCCCCACTGAAATGCATGCCCCCAACATTGACGATCGTTGCGGAACACGACTGTATGAGAGACAGAGCAATTGCTTACTCCGAGGAACTCCGCAAGGTAAATGTGGATGCGCCAGTCCTGGACTACAAAGATACAGTCCATGAGTTCGCAACACTCGATGTGTTCCTCAAGACACCACAGGCTCAGGCCTGTGCCGAAGATATTGCCATATGGATGAAGAAATACATATCCCTGAGAGGGCACGAGTTCTCGTATTAGCTGTAGCAAAAGATCAGCATTGTGAAATAGAGTCTTTACAGGAAGCATCGGTGCATTCTTTTTCACCTGGTGATGGGAGGCACTGCAAGTTAAAAGGCGAAGAACAAGTTAGGCGTAATGTGAGTGCTGAGTACCTTTCCCCTTTATTGATGATCCTTGTGGAAGAATGTAGTGTGCAAATTGTAGACTGAACTCAAAGACAGATGCTCTTCCGCCTCGTAGAGCTCAATTCTTTCATTCCTTTTGTACCCTTTGTGAAGTATTGAAATGCTGGGTCTCGAAATCACCATTTTTGAGAAAAGAATTATCATCTAAGCTGTTGGCATACCATAACACGTGAATAGTTTTTACCATCAAACATTGTCAACCATGTTGCTCTACTGCCTTCCTACCTTTGTTTGCCTCTTGAAATATTAATCATTTTGTTTGAAATTATAAGATGAAGTGCAGTGTCATAAGTCTGCTTAAACGAGAGTTATCCTTGAGTGCATATTACGTTTTTTCCCCTTCAAAGCATCAACTTTGATGTTGCAAGGCTTTAAAGTGAAACCTGTTACTAAAAGACATGCTTCATGCTGCCACTAACATATTCCAGGCTCAAGTTTCTCATCTAAGTATCTTGTAACTTATTGTTCAATCATGGTTCATGTTCCTTTTCAAATAAAGTAGACTTATGATAGACAAAAAGCAATACTCCACATAACTGAAATCCTGGGAGTAGGTTAGCAATAATCAAATGAAGGTGTTAAAGCAACATTAAACATTCCTCTGAAAGAACACTCTCCGCAGACCACAGTAATCGAACTTATGGGCTAGCTGCAGTTGTCTTCTTAGTATAGTCAGTCATGATCTCAAGAGGAACTTTTGAGCCTCCTGGAGCCAATATCGGGAATGATGCAAAGGCGTTTTTGAACAGCCGTCATAAGGTATGCAGTCAAATAACACGCCGGTATGGAGACTTCATTTGTAATCGTCAACCCTTATTGTGTCTTTAAATTTTTGTCGCGGATAGATCAGTAGCAAGCACGCACCTGCATCTACAAATCTTTTAAATATCATATTCTATCATCTTTTCAGAATGCCGATGCGCTTCTTCAGTTTTTCGATTCACCGCGTGAAAAGAAAACCTAAACAAGCGACCAAAAAGGAACATTTCCGCGTCAGAGAGAAGAAACCTTCCGGTACCAGTTGGTATGCCCTTTCCAGGTAGTGACGCCGAGCCTGATCAGACATCCACAACCACTGTCATGAATGTGCGACCAAATAAACACGCCTTGCCTAGAGGAGCACTATATACAGCCTTATTTGGATGTAAACCCCAACCCTGCATGCTGATTTTGCAAGTTGTTAAAGTTTTGCAAGTTATCTTCACTTTTAAGGTTTACCACCCACACGGGAAAAGCAAACCTGAACAACCGACCAAAAAGGAACATTAGGCCATTGCATTTCCTCGTCAGGGAGAAGAAACTTTCCGGAACCAATTGGTGTGCTGCGCTCTTTCTAGGCACCGGCACCGAGCCTGGTCAGAGCATGCTTAGAGGGTGTTTGTTTCCAGGGACTTTTTGTTGTAGGGACTAGAAAAAGTCCCTAGCAAACCAAACAGGATGGAACTTTTTTAAGACTTTTTGCTAAAAGTCCTTAGAAGCACCTCCTTGAAAGTCTTTTTTAAAAAATCCCAGGAACTAGAAAAAGTCCTAGGACTATAGAAACAAACACCACCTTAATAATAAAGCCAACAATCGGCTATAAAGAGTTGCCATGTCATCTACAACTAATTTTATACCTGGCATGTACAATAGTGAGTCCTATATGTGTACTACTTCATTAGTAGTCAGCCTACCTTACACCTCACAAAGCATCTTGGGTCTTGTGCTAGAGCCGGCTATTAACCAAGAGTCCGTTTCTCTTCGCTCTCCTCTTTTCTCTCCTCCAACTAAGCAAAGATATAATATTCTAGTCCTTATAACCTGCTTATGTCACCTTATTGTACATGCTCCCAGACGGGAGATTCAACGAGCAATCCTCGGAAAATTCGCCCCGTAATTTTTGCCTTGTTGAACCGCAGCTTCTTCTATACTACTATTAAACAAGCAAACATTTTCTTTCCTATAACCACACTGTTATGTGTACCCAGCCTGATTTATGCCGTTTGATTAGTCCATTTAATTAAATCTAACTGCCTAAATACATCTGATGGGAGGCCACAATTGCACGTAGCAATTTGTGTTGGCGGACGATACTCTGGGCGAACGAAACAACGCCACGCCCGGTCCACGTCCCGCATCTATCCAATTTCCTCCCGTGTTTAGCGCTGCAAATTAATTAGCGCTTAACAACTCTTCTCCACACACCACGCCGTCCTCAACCCCTCCCCAAGAAAAGGGTTCATCACGTCCCCGGCGCTCCTTCCCCGACGCGTACCTGCCATCTCCGCCCTCCCCAACGCCAATCTCTCGCCACACCTTCCTTCCTCGCGGCGCTCCATCCCTACGGCGCTGCCGCTGCATGGTCAACACGCCGCCATGCTAGGCCATGCACCTATCTCTCTTGCAGCCGCCCTCCTGACCTGCCGCCTCTCCCACACCATCTCTGCCTAGCCGTCTCACTAGACGAAGATGCATACGAAGTCGAGACGCGTCCGGCTAAGGACCATATGCAGGTTTCACACGTGCTTTGGAATTTGGATTGAACTGTGTTTGGGTTTTGGTGCAAATTCAATGATGGTTTATGCAAGCGAATTGTTCTTACAAGAAGTGTTGTTCTAATTATTATTTTTGTTTCCTTATCAACAGGTCATTGTGCGGTACAGAAACTGTACTCTGAATTTGTCACTACAGGTTGCATGCAATTTCTCACTGTTAGTTTCAGATTTTTCCTATTTTCTATCTGTATATAGTAGATGCTTCTATTAATCTGTGGCATCTACATTCATCTTATCTAATTCAGTTAAAGTTTACATTGAAAATTTCCCAGATCTCTTTTTAATGCTGTACTTACCCAGAGCCTTTCTCTCCTGCTAGGCTAATTTACAGAGTTTTACTGACCCGCAGTCGCTGTATGTCTTTTCTTCGTTCATTTGGTCAACTGAATTTGTCATCCATAGTGTAATTGCCTTTTGGGCTCCCCTTTGCACCATCAGTTCTAACAAAAGATTTTATTCAATAGTTGTTTGCGGACAAGATTTTGAAGCTCAGTGATGAAGTACACTTTCCCCAACCACTCGAAGTGCACATGGGCGTTGCATTTATTTATTTAGTTCCGTGTAGAGATTCAATCATCTCAATGGAGCCTTACATGATTTGCTCTTTTACTGATGGACTGAGGAGGTCCGAGCTGTTTTCTGGTCTACCATGTGGCAGCCTCTCTCACCATGTCTGCACATAGTGTTCAGGTATGATTCATACTGTCGACGAGGGCACGACGTTTTCTTGTACTGAATTTTTTTGCATACTGGTTGAGCTTGGTTTCAACTTTGACCTGAGTTGTTGGTAGGCAAGCCTGATGCAGGTATATTGATCTTATGCAGTTCCATTAGCTCTGGAGTTGTCCAGTATACTGATGGGGCCGACATATTTTGTTGATGCAGGTTGGAGGTGAACATGAACTCTGGCAATACAAAATACTCCTTGCATCCCAAAATTCTTGTCTTAGATTTTCCTAGATACAGATGTATCTTATACTAAAATGTGACTTGATACATCCGTATTTAGACAAAACTAAGACAAAAATTTTGGGACGGAGGGAGTAGCAGATATAAAATAACTGCAGCTCAGGCCATTTATTTCTACAACAACCAAGGAACAAGTCTGTTTTTTAATGCGACCCTGGCCAAGCAATTTATGCTTATAAGGGTGCTCTCTATTTTTCAGAGGTGCGAGAGCGCCCATAATTCAGGGCAAAAAAGCTAGATAAAGTGGCAAACTTTGTAAGAGTGGTATTTGAAGCCAGTGATAGCATGTTGAAGGATGTTGATTGTGGCTATCCAACTTCAACAACGTGCTTGCAACTCATGAGTGGCTATCCAACTTCAATAACATTGTGGCTATCTCAATGTGAATCCCACAGGCGGAGTTGTGGTCAAGTCCAGCAATTCAACTTCTGAAGATAACATGTATTCCAAACCCAAGAGGGAACGAATTACAACTACTTTTTTCAATGTCTTATTCAAAGTACGCATCCTGTCATGTTCACTCGGACGATGACTGTACCTATTATAACTCCTTTTAAGAAATTTGACATCCTGCATTCTTTACTACACGACTGTGATTTCTTGGTTTGGGATTTCCTTGTGCACTAGAACTTCACATACATCATCAAAAGATAAGGGATGGGGGCTGTATTAAGGTTGACCATGAGAGACGTGGGGATCATCAGGCACCACATATATTCTATCCCCCACCCCACCCACATCAAAATTTTGGAATATGAATTCATAATTCAATACTCACATGCATTCCATAGTCTACTTTGATCGAGACAACACAAGTACATGCTTGGTACTCCCTACTCCCTCCATTCACAAATATACGATGTTCTAACTTTTTTGTGAATCGGGTGTATATAGACACGTTTGTGTGTTTGTTCACTCATATCATCCATGAGAGCCTCAGTTACATGAAAGTAAATTAATTTCAATATGAATTCATACACCCACATGAAAAAAATTTATAGGTTGCTTTGATCGAGACGTGCATTGCACGTGCATACTTACTAGTCTTGATAAAACAAGAGAGACACCCGAGCTCTACGGCTGTGATGGCTCTGTTCATCATGGAAACAATCTGATAGTGCATGGGCAGGCACGGAGATTCCCTGTGATCAATCAGATTCGGATCGAGCCTTGTTTGCAAAATGGCAACTAGTGTCACTGTCGGAGACGGCCGCACTGCTAAGTTCTGGAACTGCTCTTGGCTACAAAACATGACCCTCGCACAGCTCTTCCCCACATTGTACAAGTGTTCATCAAGGAAGCAGAGAGCAGTGGTCGTAGCCCTGCACAA